GAAAACTTGGAGTAAAAACCCAGAGCAGAATTAGCAACATGGAAGCCTGCAGCGGTCCTTGGGTCAATGTGCTTTATTATATTAGGCTGCTGGTTTGCGATTAGGGAGAAACTACCACAGTGCCATCTCATTATTCCAATCTAGAAGATTACGGCATCATGATTAAAACTGGCTTACCTGAGCCATCTTAAAATTAGAAGTGGGTGGCATCCTGATATTATCAGATGAATTTAGCCACCGAAATTGCTGCCCAGGTGCAGCCTGGCTTCATTGCTGTTCGAATGGATGCTCCTCACGCCTCTTTTCAAAGCCAGGAGTTTTCTGGCTTGAAAAAATGGCCGTCGGAGCACCCCCGGGTGGCGATTTTGGCAGCTAAATGCATCCGATAATATCAGGATGCCACCTGCTTCTAATTTTAAGCCAGCTCAGGAAAGCTGGTTTAAATCATGATGCAATAAGCTCCCTAGTCATACCCCTGATGGAAAGCAGCAATGAATAAAGTAGATAAAGTCAAGGGAAGAGATTAAAATGCACCTAGAGATTAACCACCATTCACATACATCCAGTTGTCCAGGGATTATGCCAGGTAGTCCAGGGAAAGGACTCAGCCCCCCACCCACCAAGGTGACCAATGCTGTTTCTGTTTCATAACCAAACCTTGAACCCAGACTGGAAGGTAGGCTGGCCCCATCTCAGCTTCCTTCCCCCCCTTCAAAATTACAGGTACAAAGTGTCATTCCATCCAAAGTCCTGAATTAGGGTTACTCCATCTCCAGGTGTTTTTTTTTTTAAATGTCATTTACATTCAAAATGGATCTCAGTTACAAACATTAATGTTCCAATTTAACAAAAGCAGGAAAATAAAACACAAAGGGAAGGGAGGAAATGACCACATTAGTCATAAGTTTCTATAAAGCGGACCAAATGACCAAATATAAGTCCATTTGTAAATTTCATCTATACATAATTCTTTCAAATGTTGCAAGCCTTGTTAGATCTTCTGTCCATTTTATCACAGGCAGAGAAAAAAATCTTTCTAGTAATGAAGTATCAATCTTTTAGCAAACAAAAGGACATGAAAAATCCACTTCTTTAGGCCATTTGTTGATTTCCAAGAAAAACAACAACAAGTAAACAATTCAAAAGAAGACACGTGTCTCTGAATTTTAAGGAACTTTCCAAAACCAAATTTATTTGTTGGATTATTTCCTCCCCAAATATAGCTACTATGGGACAACTCCAAAACGTATGTGTTAAGGAAGTATTAGCAGTATTACATCTCCAACAGTGTACTGATGTACAGGAACCTTCTTGATGTTGTGACATTCAAAATAACCAAATGAGCAATTCCTGTTGTACAAGACAAAGGGCTGGAGCAGAGAGGCAGGAAAAAGTGGCCTGATCCTGGGTTTTTTGAAAGTGGATTGAAACCCCATTGTATTAATGGCCTGGTCCCAAGCAGGCTGAACACCCACAGGCTGTCTGCACCATGTGGCGTCAAGCTGCGCTGCACAGTTTTTGTGGTTGCCTCTGCACCACTGCACAAATACACCACCTAAAACCTCCAATTATCTCCCTCTTCCTGCCCAGATTCCATTCTACTGGACGTCCACTGTTATGATCAGCTACGTATGTGCAGTGCACCGCCTGTACAGCACATCAGTGCATCAGTGTGCCCAGTGATACACTGGCAAAACACAATCATGGAGCCCCCCCCCCATGCATAGAATCATGGAATCTTAAAATCCTAGAGTTGGAAAAGACCCCAAGGGCCATCCAGTCCAACTCCCCGCCATGCAGAAACTCACAATCCAAGCATCCCCAACAGATGGCCATGCAGCCTCTAATAACCTCCAAAGAAGGAGACTCCACCACACTCCAAGGCAGCATATTTCACTGTTGAATAGCTCTTACTGTCAGGAAATTCTTTGTAATGTTGAGGTGGAATCTCTTTTCCTGTAGTTTGGATCCATTGCCCTGGATCCTATTCTCTGGAGCAGAAGAAAACAAGCTTCACCCTATGCCCCCTTCACCCCACGCCCCTGTTGGACTGTCTGGTGTATGGTATAATTACATTCATTGCATTATTGGCGATTGAGGGCCGTTGCAGACTGCTAGAAATAGTGCAAATTGAGTCCACTTTAACTGCCCTGGCTCAGTGCTAGGGAATCATGGGAACTGTATTTTTTTCCCGAGATATTGAGCCTTCTCTGTCAAAGAGCTCTGGTGCCACAATAAACTACAGTTCCCATGATTCTCTAGCACTAAGTCAGGACAGTTAAAGTGGACTCAGTTTGCACTATTTCTGGCAGTCTGCAAAGGCCCTGAGTTTTTCAGTCTCCCGTACTGAAGTCCCATACTAGTTTATATGCCGGTACAATGAAGCACATTTTCTGCCTTGAGTCAGAGTATCCCAGCTTCTTTTGCTCAAATTTTTAGCCCTGGAGCACGGCTTCATTTTGCTTTCCACCCGGTTTTGCCTTGTATGTCATCTAAACACCCCGCCTTCAAGGTGGCTAGAAGCTGCTTTACTTGGCCAGTGTGGATGACCCTATAGACAGAGATCTACAGCCACACTAGTAATATGTGTTAAAACCAATGGCTATTGATTAGTAAGATCTACATATTTATAGATAACAGAATTTTATATATGAATTATTGATTTGGATACTGTAGTAGCATCAAATCTGGATTGTAACAAATGTTTCAGTTGTAATTATTGCCATATAGCTGATAGAGATAGTTTAAACTGCTCCTGCAATACTGAAAAGGGCAAAAACTCATCATCAGCATCAAGCATCTGATTTAAGATAACAATCCCGTTGGTGGCCCAGACCTACCATAATTGCAATTGACGAAATAATATTTGCCGCACAGTTCTAACTGCTGAAAGGATTGGTAATACACTGCAGCCCCCCTTAAATAAAATAAAATAAAATGAGAACCAAGTACTGTACTGTCCATTTGAATAGAGATGCCAGAAATGAAGACACCAAGGCTGTCCATTGTGAATTACTTCAACTCAGTAAGACTGGCTTCATCCAAGGCCTGAGCAGTAGTTATAGAGCATAACACTTCTCCTCGATGTGCACTCATAATCTTACCAAATGCAGAAATTACACCTGGAGTGTAACTCAGGTGACCATTTTCAGCAAGCACATTGAAAAAATTGACAGTGATGGGAGATAGCTTCTCTTTAAGCAGAACATCATTCACAGTTTTTTGCTTTACTGTACCCTTTACATGAGGATTCATAACAACAGCAGACAATTTTGGCTCCTTGATCAGTGTCAACACTCGAGCCAGCTCTTTTTCTACATTTTCCAACTTCTGCTTAGAAGCAGCTGAGTAAAGTGTGGTGGCATATCGACCTTCCAGTCCATATACTTGAATTGGGGGCTGAACCAGCTTTGATGCTGGCCTAACCAGAGAGGTACTGAAGTGGTGTACCTTCCCAACCAGCCCTGAAGCAGCCGCCGTCTTGTTCTCCTCCTCCTGTAGGTCAAAGAGGGCGCCTTAGTTCAAGTGGATATGTCCAAAAATGAATACAAGATAACAGATATGCTCAATGGTGTGTAAGAAGATTTGGAAGGCTGACACTTTTTCTTTGATAGGAGCTTGCATCCATCTCATGGAAATTCTAGGAGAGGATCCCCCCCCCCAAAAAAACACAACAACTCCTGAACAATGCACTTAGTTTTTGGAAATAGTTGCAAGATATAAGTAGAGGATTTCCATGAATAACATAAACAATTCTAGGTACAACATTCATTTTAATAGTGTTTATCTTACACCACAGACTCATCTTTAAGCCCACCCAACTCTCTAAATCTTGTGCAATATCTTTTATCATCTTAATTATATTGATTAATCATTCTTAGGGATAATTATACCTAAATAAGTAATAGAATTTGAGCAATATTCAAACTGCCATATTTTAAATATGATAGAATCTGTTTTGTCCCCTACTGGCAGTGCTTCTGACTTTGAGCAATTCACTGAATATCCTGATATTTTACCACCATTATTAAACAATGTCTGCAATCCACTGATCCTGGAATTTTATCTAAAAGTACATGTTAAGAGTGCTAAGCACAAATTGAATATTAAAGGAGACAATGGACATCCCTGCCTTGTACCCCAAAGGACAAGAAAAAAACATTGGTCATAACCAGTACTCTTCGATAAAAATGGATAATTTTTTTATCCATTTCAAATATATTTTAAGAAACACAAAATTAGCCAATACTTTGAAAATAAAAGTCAGTGAATTTTATCAAAGGCCTTTTCAGCATCTAAAGAAATAATGGCTCGCTGGTCGGTTCCACATAAGTTTATAGCAATCAAGTCCACAACTAATTGAAAATTATCATCTCCCTGACTGTTTTTGATAAATCCCACCTGCTTAAGATTTACCAAAAATAAAATGATTTTTTTGGTCATCTGTTCACTAAAACAATATTTTGATATCAACATTAAGTAATGATATAAGTGGTAGTTAGCACAGCAAGTAAGACCAGATTTAGATATCAGGGTAATATAGGTGTTGTTTAATGATGAAGAGAGGGAGCTGGATTCTAAGATATATTTGTAAAGTTGGAGCAGTCTCCAGAATTTTGAGAACAATATTACACTGTGACAAATAGTCTGATTATTTATTTTATCAAGGCCTCAATCATTTTTACAAAGGAATGGGGAGGGGGACCTTCAACTCCATTCATTGGAAACAATGCACTTTCAGAAATCAGGAATTTCTCTGTGTTTGGGATCACTGAGCTCATTCTTGGGTAGCTCGCCCACTCATGATGTGAGAAACATTCTTCAAATGAGTCAGAATTTTCTCTCTGTGTTCTAGCAAATGCTTTCTTTCCAATGCCTTTTGGCCTTTGAAATGCAGGTCTCCTATCTAATTACTATAGAGAGATTCAACATCCAAGATTCAGCTCCTGTGATCAGCTTCAATGATGGTTCCAGATTTTTTTGGGGGGAGGGGGGTTCTTGCCAGTGTGGCGTAGTGGTTAGAGCATAGGATTAGTACTCTGGAGATCAGGGTTCAATTCCCCGTTTGGCCATGGAAACCCACTGGGTGAGCTTGGGCAAGTCACACCCTCTCAGCCTCAGAAAACCAGAAAAGACTTAAAGGCACACAAGAACATAACAGATACCTTCCAGCTGTCCTCATTTGGCATGAATAGTCCTGATTAATCCTCTGTCATCCCATTTTTTCAGCTGTTTTAAAAATGTCCCGGTTTCTCTCTCCAACTCTCACCTTCCTCCTTTGTCCTCTTACCTCAATTGATGCAAACTAAGGTCAAAGTGCAAAAGCAAGGGGAAGAGGAGTTTTAGGGGGGTTGCAGACTGCCAGAAATAGTACAAATTGAGTCC